CAATCGATGCATATACGTTTGAAATTAGGTCAATTGACGTAAACACGATCGCTTCGAACAGTTGGGAATCGAAGCTTGCACGTAGAGTAGAGTGTGATACAACTCCGCTCGAACACGGATGTGAAATTCCTCACCCGTCGATTTTATTTCAAAAGTTGAAAAAAACTGCCACGCTGAATTTCACAAAGGTCGAAAGATCGTCGTCCCGGCGACTTTTTGGGAAAACGCAAACTCCGACAAGATCGTGTCGAAGGAAAACGACTGTTGGCGACAGTTGCACGCGCCCCGTGCCAGGGGTCAATTAATTCGATTATCGTGGATAATTGAAGAGACGCCAGTGTTGGTTTCAGTAATGAAAGAGGTCGTTGATTGATTCACGAAGACGTTCAAATATGTCGCGACGAACTAATGCCACGGGTGTATCGTATTGGGCACAATCTGCAAAATCCGATTACAGTTTGGCTCTACACAGCTCCGATCGACAAACTAAACTGAGTTAAGCCTGGTATTAGAAGCAAAGCCTCGTTTATTAATTCAAACCGAAGTTAACCCTCTGTGTTTCTCCTCGCGAACTCGAGGAAAACCATTGGAGTGTGACATTACAGTAGCTGGCCCACTACACGGTTAGATCAAAGTTAATCCGTGCAAACACACCATTCTCCTTCGTATATCGCCAAACCGTGACCCGACCAATATGCATGTAACGCCGATTATCGATTCTTTTTCGTTCTCCCCTGCGATTGGACATCGATCTGGAAATCGATCGAAACTGTCGCCGAGCAAACACGCCCGTTGAATAATTTCGTTAATTTGCACGAATTAGTTGGCGAGAGAGTGACTCGCGACAGATGTGTACGATTTCCATTCTCCTTGGCTCAAACATTCCGTCTATCGTTTCAAAACTGCAGCGAGTTAATATTTTATAACGTTTCCTCCCTTCTCCTTCGTTTGGTTTAAAGCGTGACGTTTCAGACGAGATTTCCAGACGATAGTAGACACAAGTGTGCATGATTTCTGGCCGTCTTCCAGAATTTTGTAGAATTCGGTAAGGTATGAACAACATGTTTCGTAGCGTGGAAAAGTACAATCGCGAATAATGTACATGCGGATATCTGTATGTACATTACGTATCCGTATTTTTCTAGAATTTTATCGACCATTTACGGACTCTCTGTAGATGTCTGGAAATCTTGCAACGCATTTGTCAGGAGAATGTCAGTAAATTTGTACGTGCCTTTATTGGAATATATTGTGCGCCAGAGTTAACAAATAAAGAGCATGAATTGGGTTTATCGTCTGTGCAGAAACTGCATAAAGTTCCTCTTATTCGCAAATATTCAAGCTACCTCGTCGCGAAAAGCAAATTTACAAAAATAAAATCTCTCGTGCTTGAAACGTTGAATACTTTGCGAAAAGCATAATGAAAGATCAAGATCCTTGCATTCTAGATCTGGGCTGAATAGCATGATTCTATCCAACCGTACAAGGCTGTTCGTCGGCTATCGCGTCACGCACGGTCATGAATTATTCACGTCTAACTGTTAACGAAGATCTCTACTAATGAAAATTCTCCGCTAGCGTGAGATCTCCGATGTGAGATTACATTGCTCCATCCATCGTTTCCAACTCCTCGAACCGGCCACGTTCTAAAGATTCCACTTTGTTGCGCTCGTCGCGAGCTGCGTTTCTACCTTTCGCTCACGAACAATCCCATCGATCGAGAGGATCGAATCTCTCGCGGTGGCACGTGGTTCCTCCGCAACCGGAGATCACACGCCGAGGGAATAGCTGGTAGCAATTTGCGAGCAACCTCGTTACCCAAAGTTCGCCGTCCGAGGGACCACGCCACTTCGCTTACTTCGCCGTCAGAGTAACGCGACGAAGGTCGCAAGGGTGCAGCCTTAACTCCGTTGATTCGTCGTCAGACGAGAAGTCGAGTCAACGAGCTTAGCCAATATAGAGATCGAGAGAGAGAGAGAGAGTGAGAGAGAGAGAAAGGGTGGAGGGGAAGCGTTCCCCAGGCGGGAAAGGGAGTTTGCATAGCGGAAGTACCCTTGAATCGATTCATCGAAAACATCTAACCCCTCTTGGAGGACCGTTCGACGCGTCTCGTGGGAGGACTCGCAGAGAGGAAGGTCGCCAGAGGGGTTGAGGAAGAGGCATGGGGTTGGATCCAAACCGCGTCGCGAATAGAAAATGTTCCTCGTTTCTCTGCCGGGTCTGTTCCTTCTCTCTCTCTCTCTCTCTCTCTCTCTCTCTCTGTCTCTGTCTCTTTTTCTTCTC